GAAAAACTAAATGATTCAGCATGTTTTATAAATCTCTGTTCATGTTTACTTTACTATCCCATAAAGGGCTCATTACAAACTGTGTTATCTGCTAGGCTATAGGGAAGAGTGAATTAAATTAGACTATAAACTTCTCCACATACACAAATGAAAGGCTGTGCCTTTGAATGTTCTCACCACACAATCAACATAAATGTGTGAGATGTCAGAGGTTAAAGAATTCAAAACAACTCAAAGCCTTGAACTATCAAGCCCAGGAAAGGATTGGAGCACATATTGTTACATTTGGCCTCTCAGAGTGTACACCATAACAAAAAGTGATATTTTCAGCTGCCTTAATTTGGTATCTTTTGGGATTGCATGAGATAAAGTGTTGGGCTGTTTCAGTTTAATTAAACTTTGTAAAGAGAGTTTACAGTTGATGCATAATTATAAAACCCAAAATTAATGTTATGCCTGAATTTTACAGAAAGGAATGATGAAGTGAGATTTGAAGTTTTCCTTTATAAATTTGTGAAGTGTGAAATATTCCTGCATGAAACCCAATGAGGACTGTCCCTTTGCTAAAAAACAATATTTGCATAATCAACCAACATCAATTGGTATCTTTTATGAGTGAAATAAAAGGTTGAGCCACAAGACTTGGATCAAAATTTCTAATGAACATCTGTGCCCTTTTAAGAAAAGATCTTTTACCCCCCCTTTAAGATCAGGATCAAACATCTCTGACACTGTATTTTTTTACACCCAGAAACACAGCTCTATACATTTGTAATGTGTAACAGAGTTCCTTCATCATCCATACTGCTGCTGAGGAGCAGCAGTCACTTATCTGCTCTATTGCCTTGTTTGCTCATCAGTCTCGTCTTCTAAATCTATGTTGCTCGCACTGTGCATTCCCACAAGGACATCCGCAATCTTGTTTGTGTCATTTCCTGAAATTGGAACCAATTCATACTTTCCTCTGCATTCCTCCGAGTCATCCAGAATTTCCCTCAGCTTGCGGATGAATAACACCACCTAGGTTACAACGAAAATGGTTTCAGTTGGTGTAAGCATTAGCTTAACCTTTCAGCTCTCAGTAGTGATAAACCTGTAACTTCTCCATAATATTCATAAATTATCCAGCAAACAGTTAATGAGAATACTAAAACTTATCAGGTAGAAGCTGTTATCTTGATTTAATGCTAAATTCTTGTTACTAATTTACAAGGAAATGTGTTTAAGCTAGAAGGGGGAATATACAATCAGATCTTGGGAGTTAAAGGGTTAAGCTACAACAATCAATTACAAAATTTGTATTAAAAACACTACCTCAAAAAGAAATTCTAAGAACAAATATTTATTATCATATATCTAAAATTATACAACAGATCACACTTGTTCACCTGATGATCCCGCTCTGGACCAGTCAAGGGGGCTTTTGCATGACTTGACATTTCGTACAGGGACATAAGAGGCGTAGCGTACTCCAGGACAAAGTGGTACTCATCCACTGTTCCATCTGGGCGGGGCATCTCTATGCGGTGTACCGCATGCTGGTAACTTCTCTCCAAAATTCCAGCCCTGGTGATTTTACTTTCGGGGAGTTTGCCGGCCCATTTTACCCTGTCATCTGCTTTGGAGATTTCTCCAAATGTAAAGCACGTTTTTGGAAGTAAAATGAAAAGCTTTTCGTCTGTAATCTTATGACGAAATGTGTCCGATTCGGAAATACGATATCCCAGTCTTGGCAGCACCAGTTTCAGATACCCAAAGTAGTAGCTCCAAGCCAGCCCATCGGCCACATTCTTGTTTTCTTTTTCGTTAAAATCCGATGTCTCTACAGGAGAAAGCTGTCGAAGACCCACAAGGAATGACAATTGCGGAACCACGAGACAATTCAGGAAAAACAAGATGGAGAAACCTGGACTCGAGAAAACTTCGTATTGTTCATGCAGCACAAAACACAGTGTCAGAGCGGAGGCGATGGCGACAACCAAAATACTACCGGAATTATTGAAAGTGAAAGTCGTCTTGAGAATATCCTTCCAGTTTCCTCGATATCTCGCGTGTTTGTGTTTAATCTCTTCAGACACTAGGCACAATCTTCGTACCATTTCTCCGAGAACGACACTCAAGATAAGTAGGGCTGTTGTAAACACCAGGAAGTGAATCCCTTCTCTCTTTTCGTTATCCTTTACTGCGAACAAAAGCATCGCGCTACTAATCACAACCACGATAGCTGATGTGATCGTAGCAATATTTCCACGAAGCTCGGAAAGTGGTCCAAAGCCATTATGTGCTTGCTGAGCTACGTCATCTCCTCGGGGAAGAAGATTATCAGTCATGGTGGAGAAAACTATTCCTTTCTCACGATGGTCTTACGTTACTCGTGAAGTTGGCCTCAACCAAATGCGTCAAACTGTTGGGAGCAGATCACTTATTCAAATAGAACGCCATTCACTCGGGTAATCCCCCAGATGAATTCTCTGGACCTGATTGGCCAGGAGCGCGTCAGGATGTTCAGAAGGTGTACCCCTGGGGGAAAGCCCTCCCTGACGGGGTGGGTTAATCAAAGTTTCATAGTGCTCTTTCAGCAACTTTCGGTTTCTAGAGATCTTTCCCTCACAAATGAAAAACTGAAATAAAAACTTTTTCCTAACCTATACCTTTTGGAGCCCCCCCACTCCTTGAATGTCCGTTGGGTTTAAAAATTGTGGTTTTCACAGGAAGGTTGCATGTCCTCATAGAAACTAGAAACAAATTGACTTTAAATCAGGGTGTATAATGGTAACTATTGCTTCAATATTGGATTATCCATATTTATGTGAGGGCCAGTTAAATTAGCTCTGCCTTCATCTTGGCTAGGCTCATAGAAGAGAACAAGGAAGATCAAGGGGTTATTAATGCTATTGCCAAATGACATAAAACTTCTTCATAAACTGATACCACCTGTTTAAGGCGTTCCTAGTTCCAACAGTTTACAAGCTCTCTCTGGATCAATTAATATTGTTAATTTCTTCTGGTCAAGCAAAAAGGGTTCATAAAAATATTCTGTCCATGACTGAAGCACATTGAACCGTAATTAAGACTGAGAAGAAATCCTGCCTAAACCATGGCATCTGAAACACATTTCTGATGATTTTAGTATTGAGAATTTGGTGTTATGTAAAACACTTGAGGTATAATGATATTGTTTTCTTCTTTCTCATCACCTGAGATGCATCAAATTGAAAACATAATTTTTTGGGGGTTTTCACGGGAATGAAAGGGTGAAGTGATATATTACTAATCAAACCCATGTATGACCTTTATAGCTGGCCATCAAGGCAAGTTTACATGCTACAACAGGGGGCAGAGGGGTGGGGTGTATGGATGGAGCCAGGACACTACTTGTCTTGTATGAAAGTGACAATAACTTTCACATTTTTCTGCCTCCCTCAGACAGTTAAGGACATCAGTATATTTATTAGCTATCAACAAAGTATCTTTAGGATTCCTTGGTATAAAATGCTGTGAAATTACAGTTTCAGTGAACAACTGTATCAGAAAAGTGTAAAAAGAAAAAATTTGGTATTTTCACAATAGTACTTGTGTCAGTTGTCTTTATAGACTATACTACTTTCTAAAAATGTTCTCAGTTTTTTATAGACTGATGTATTTATGTCTCAGATCCCTCCTATAATGAATAAGCAATATCATTTTGTTCACAGCGGTCACTGTTCTGGTATTTTCACTTCATCAGCTTCCTCATCCATCTCCACATTGGCAGCTTTATGCATTTCAACCAGGATATCTGCAATCTTGTTTTTCTCCTCATCTCCTGAAAATGGAACCAATTCATACCTTCCTCTACATTCTGTACTCTTATCCAAAATTTCCTTCAGTTTTCGAATGAACAACACTACCTAAAGGATATGAAAGAGAGAGAAAAAGAAAAGGATTAAACAAAGTTTAATTATATATAATATAATTATATGTGTAAATAAATCTTGATTATGATCTATCCTTGTGGTGTAGTGCTCGATGTGTTCGCAGAGTATGATATGTCTAAAAGTTGGACAAATCAATAAGACCTAACTTTTCTGTGAAACCTGCGTTTCACACTTACGCGATCATCAGCCATGAAAATTGGTCTAATGACTGCATAGCATGAAACTCAGAGTTACAGAAAAGTTATGTCTTATTGATTTGTCCAACTTTCATATATATATATATAGGTATATGTACATATATTCATACATACATACATATAGGAAATTCATGTTTAACATACAGATGAAATCTTATTTTGCAATTCAAGACTTAATTATCATTTGCTTTGAACATTACAATTAAAATGCACATTTTTTGTTCTTTTTGCTCAAAATGACATACAGTTTTTAAACTGTTTGTGAGTTTGTTTTATCAATACAGCACAAGAAGGCAAAGGAGCTGTTTTAACCACCGAAAAATGGGCTGGGGTAGAAAAATACAGCCTATGGGAACTTTGAAGGAAGTTTTAAACTTTCCTCATTTTACTTTTCTGGTCAATGTATGAAACAACCAATTTGAATTGCTTTTGGTGTACACATATTTTATCATCAATCTTCAAATTAAAAATAAAAAAAAAAGAACAGAATGTGGTAAGAGCAATTCACCTGATATTCTTTTGCTTATTTGTTTTTTTTCTTCCTGTTGTTATCTTAGCCTAAAATCATCTGCAATCCTCCAAAACCTAACAAATACATGAATGCTATTCCCTGGGTGCTTCAACATCTGGTGTCTGACCTGACACATACTGGTGTCCAGGCTCTATGGCTAATGCATAATGTAAGCTTTCACATTGAGGCATGGAGAACTACTTGACAAGCACATAAAAACTCTGAATGGAAGAGATAACATTTTTCACATGCTTCTCAATTGCTTTTCTCAGGCCTGTGGTAGGAGGCAGTAAAAAAATTAAATTACATAACAATCCAAGTGTATCAAAAATGGTCACCGCACTACCTGGTGATCCCGCTCTGGAGCCGTTAATTGGGCGTCTTGGAAGTTAGACATATCATGAAGGGTCATCAGAGGCGTGGCATACTCCACAATAAAGTGGTACTTTTCGTTTGTCCCATCTGGCATCACTATTTCATGTACCGCATGCTTGTAACTTCTCTCCTTAATTCCTCCCCTGTTAATTTTACTCTCCGGGAGATTGCCGACCCATTTTACCCTGGAATCCGCTTCCTCAATGTCATCACATGTGAAGCACGTTTTTGGAAGTAGAATGAAAAGCTTCTTGTCTATTATCTTATGACGAAATGGGTCCGATTCTGATATCCGTTGTTCCAGTCTTGGCAGCACCAGCCTCAGATAACCAAAGTAATAGCCCCAAGCCAGCCCATCAGCCACATTCTTGTTTTCTTTTTCGTTCAAATCCGATGTCTCTACAGGAGAGAGCTGTCGAAGACCCACAAGGAACGACAACTGCGGAACCACGAGACAGTTCAGGAAAAACAAGATGGAGAAACCTGGACTAGAGAATACTTCGTATTGTTCATACAGCCCAAGACACAATATTAGAGCGGAAGCGATGGCGACGACTAAAATACTACCGGAATTATCGAAAGTGAAAGTCGTCTTGAGAACAGCCTTCCAGTTTCCTCGATATCTCGCGTCCTTGTGTGTAATCTCTTCAAACACTAGGCACAATCTTCGTACTATTTCTCCGAGAACGACACTCAAGGTAAGCAAGGCTGTTTTAAACACCAGAAAATGAATCCCTTCCCTCTTTTCGTTCTCCTTCACTACGAACAAAAGCACCGCGCTACTAAATACAACCACGATCGTTGATGCGATCGTAGCAATATTTCCACGAAGCTCGGAAAGTGGTCCAAAGCCATTATGTGCTTGCTGAGCCACGTCATCTGCTCGGGGAGGATGATTATCAGCCATGGAGGATAAAACTATTCCTTTCTCACGAAGGACTTTTCTTACTCGTGAAGTTAGCCACAGCTTAATGCGCCAAATTGAAGAGAGCTAACCTATTACTCAACTTGAACGCCATTCACTTATTTGGGGAATCCCCTAGATGAATACTCTGGATCTGATTGGCCAGGAGCCTCATCGTGGATATCGACAGGGTGTACCCCCCTGGGGGAAAGCCCTGAATTAGGGCGGGTGACTCGAAGTTATAAAGTGCTCTCTCAGCAACTTTCACTTTCGAGATATCTTTCCCAGTGGAATAAAAACCAAAAGAAAATCGTTATTCTTAAATGGCCCGTCTGGTGTCCACACAGGCTAGAGAATTTGTAAACCCCCCTAGGCCCCTTGTGGAAAAATTTTGGTACTCGCGTGAGAGCCTTACAAACGGTTATTCAGCGTTAATATTCAAATACTTGCTATTACGTGAAAGCCAATGAAAATATAAAACTTACAATAGTTTGTTCCTCATTGAATTATTTTTTGTGCTTGGCGTAGAGAGGAGCATCGAGGAACATCAAGGAGCATCAGGGGACGTTTAAAGCCAGTGCCAATTGACATAACACTTCTACGTCCTTAAAGAAAATACATCTACAGAAAGCGAGCATGGTTGTGTGAAAGATGTAAATGGCGCAAAACGACGTGATTGTCATCAGCGACGATGAAGGAGACTTTGTCAACAAAAAGATATCGGAGAAAACACAAATTATTGTTATCGATGAGGACGATGACATTGTCGAATTGACGGAAACGACGAGCAATGTCATTGAAACAATCGCAAGTAGTCAAGTTAAATCTGAGTCTTGTCGTCCGTTGAAAAATTTGAAATTCAGCGAAAATGGCGTTAAGAGGCTCCAAGCCCAGGTAAAGCTCATCGACATTGGAAAATCGAAGAAGCCACTGAAACTTAAAGCTGTGAAACCAGAGAATGACGAGGTAGTTGCAACCAGTTCAACCGAATTAAAAGAAACCAATTCATCGGTGCAGCAGGTGAGAATTGAGATGGAAAGATTCCCGTTCTTCCGATACTTATTCTAAAACAAAGTCTTAGTGTTAATGTATTGTTTGGCCATTGGTTTCTTTTATCCAAGTACTGTAAGCATATCGAAGTATAGGGTTATACGGAAATCTTGCTGAGTTTTCTTCAGAGCTTTTCTTCTAAGCTCTGAAGAAAATTGAATTTCTTGGAACAAGAAAAATTACAACCCAATCTCTTTCATTCAGTGTGGTGTCTGGCCAGATCTTCATGAGCATCCCTAATCCAGATAAACTAGTAACCAAGCACAGTGTTTGGATGTACTTTCTAAACCACAAGGAGGCTTATTAATATCAAGGTTCCTTCATATCATCGTAAAGCTGTTCAAAGTTGGTAATGTTGTTACTTAGGTTAGTCTTGCTTACTCAGTGGACAACAACTGCCATACTGGGGCTTATACTGGTATTGGCTGCATTGAGTTACCAGGACAACATGTGTTACTTTTCCTGGACAGGATGGTGGTTCACTGCAGGGTATCCATTATGCTCACTTACTCTCATGCTTAAAGTTGTGATTGTCACCAACCGGATTCTCTTGACCGAAAAAAAAAAAAAATAGAAACACTTGAACATTTACAGCCCTGACTGGTACATTTTGTAAATGTTTCATAGTTAGATTAAGAGCTTGAATCAATCTAAGTAGAGGGATATTTTTCTAATAATCTTGCTTTCCATGAAACCCTACGATATTGAAAGGGGACACAAGAAGAAAGGTTGTGTAAAAACTCTTTGAGGCTTTGTCAAAAGGTTTTATAGTTTCCTTGAATTTCTATGGTTTTTTTGGGTTATGATTGGGTCCTCTACAAAAAATACCAAATTGACTTTGACTTTGACTTTTAAAAAAGTTGATGGATGCATTACAAGTCTTTTTGCAGTCATCAAGTGTCACTGAAAGTTTGTTGTCTGAGGTGAAGAGAGGCAGTGTTTTGGTTAAGTGTGCTAACTACAAAACTCTCATCTTTCCTGTTGACTGATTCCTAATTCTCTATATGTTTCCAGGTTAAGACTGAAGAAGTGGATGCACACAATGGGGAGTTAAGAATGAACCTCTTTGAGAAATTCTGGTCTGGTAAACAAGAAATCATCAGCAACAAACCTGCAAAAGTCATTGAAAGTTTTGATGACTCATACAAACACAAAAAGGCTAAAAGCTCTTGTCAGTCTCCATCTTCATTAAAGCAGAGGAGACTCAACGCTGAGAGTTTCTCTCCTAAGAAGAGGCCTCCTTTACATGGGATTGTGAGAGATGGAGAACTTTTACATTACACAACACCTTTACACTGCACAGTTCCACTGAAAAAATTAGAACTTGCAAGCAAACAAGAAGAAAGCTTGAGCAAAACCTTCACTGAAAACCAGCTGAATTCACTGCAAGCTCTTAAAGAAGAGAATTTTCACAAAACCTACCTGGAAACTGTCACCAGCTTTATGAGTCCACGTCGTAAGCCACCTCCATCCCTTCTGTTTTACCTGTTCAATAATATCTTGCTCTCCAAGCAAAGTGGCTGTGGTACAGAATGTTTTAGAATTCTCTTACGGATTCAAGAATTGCATCCTGCTGAGGTGGCACAGATGTTACAACAGAAAATTACATGGGAGTTTGTTTCCATGATAGTGAAGCTAGCAGGATGCACACAGTCTCACACAGTGGAAAGCTTTAAAATGAATGCCTCCATGGCTTTGTCTTTTCTTGTAAGTGTCATGGAAAAGGAAGTTGAGAAAAAGAAAGTCTGCCTTGTCAAGACAAGTGCGCACCGATTTTTCTCAGTAGATAGACTTTCGGGTAATTTTCATGATGTTGTAGAGTGGGTTAAAAAGGCCACAGAAGAACATCTCGAGGAACAATTGGACCAACATTGTGGGCATAACTTCTGTCCACTATATTTATTACAAAGAATGCTTCAGTTGTCAGTGTTAGTCGGTCAAAGACCAGAGGACACTGCTGTAAGACTAGCCAATGATTTAGTTTTGGCTTATGTAGAGTTACCATCTATCAAGTATAAAACATTGTTGCTTCAGTCAATACAGTCACATTTATTGAAGACAAAGCTGATTGAAATTGTGGTGAAAAACTGTTGTTCTATTGATGAAGAGTTAGAGGAGGAAAGAATGACTAGCTCTGGATTGAAAAATGTGGTCTTAAACTTCAAAAGATCTCCACCTCTCTCTGATGGCATTGTTAGCACTACAAACTGTGAAGAATTTGTCATGCTTCTTGCATATTGGCTGCAAAGCTTTATTTTCTGTCACAAGAGGTCTTTAATGGCAAAAGGAAAAGAATCACAGCGAGTTTTGTCCCTAAATGATGTGGAGGTACTGAGGAGAATTGAACAGGAAGTGTCTATTTTGACAGCTCGTTTAGAGTTATTATGTGGCTCTACACTCTCCCCAAGAAGCTACCAATTACTGCAATTAATCTTGTCACTAAAGAGTTTTGCACAAATTCCATAGGTGATGTTGCTGCAAATTGTATGATGTCCTGTAACAAGGGTGATTGAGATTGTTTTGTTGTACTTAAGTAGCTTGATGCATGATTACAATCAAGAGAAAATCTCACCAAAACCATGATTTCCTGTGCTTCTGTTGGAAACTAAAAGAATCAAGGTGAAGAATGAGTCAGGTTGGTTTGGAAAAGTTTAGGACAAAGAACATGTGATGTGAATTAAATAGTTTATATTATAAATAAATACCATTCATATTCAGAGTACATTTTGTGGCAAGTCTTTTTTTATAACCATTTATTTGAATGATGTGGGGATTTAGGAATGTTGTTTTAAATCCAGATTCACTGAAATCCAGGATATTATAATTTTCTAACCACCTGAAAAAAAATTCCAAATCAATACAGAACAGTACTGACAATAACTTATTAATTATTACTGTTCACTACAGCGATTTTATTTTACAGCAGTTATCATTAGCATGCATTACCCCTTCTTCCAGGTCACTTAATCCTTTGACTCTCAGGATTGACCAAGAAAGAATTTCTCCTTACAGTGTCAATACAATATCAAGCAGAAAAGTGATGAGAATAAAGAGAAATATGCATATGGGAATTATTAGTTGATCCAATTTGGAATTCATAGAACTAACATCATAAGAACTGTATGGTAGACAGTAAGGAGAATTACTATTGAGATCTTGGGAGTGAAAGGGTTAACCCTCTTGGGCTGGGCACTATTCACTTGTGCAACATATACAATGAAAAAGTTATTCCTTTAACAAATGGGTGAATACATTTTATTGTCAAGTAATCCCCTTGCCTTCATCGAAGGTAAATCCGATTATTTTTTAACAATATGCACATGGTTAAATTTTTATTTGCTAAGGAGAAGGTTTTAGGTCAATTCTTGAACCCACTGATGTCAAAGTGGAAACACAAGGGAATAAGAGTTGAACTTCTCACAGTTGATCGTTTTTAATTGCTTATCTTTCAGGCCATTTCTAATTTTCACTAGGAACTATGCTTAGCTGATAACATATTTATGCTATAGAAATTTGCGGCACTCTGTTTTCCTGAGAAGTGGTATTTTGTTGGTTATGTAAGAGAATTAAGACAATTAATATTTAATTTTGATAGGACTGTATGTGAAAGTTAGAAATTATTTATTTTCAAGGTTTTGTATATGATACATTGGTGAGAATAGTGTTTCTCCAAATGGAAATAAAAAGGATAGAATTGTAGCCACCTTTTGCTTATGCATTTTTAAGAATTCTTTTAGAGAAAAGCTAAAGTTGTTCCTTATCCCAACCAGATCAGTAGTTAAGAATTCCAACAGGTGATGACAAGAGGCCAACTTACTAGAGCAGGTGGGTACCTTGCTACTTGTAACTATTTTCATAGAGGACCTTGTGCCTGTTAAGAGTGGTTTGTACTCATGCCCTAATAATTTCCCTAGAGAACTAGCAGTATGCCATGGAAAAGGCGTAACCCTCTTCTTGAGACAAATCATATTCTTTAATATTGGTGCACTTTTTGCTCGAGTGTTGCTACACCAAAACCAAAGTACTGGTAATCGCAATGGTTATTCAGGACAAAGGGAAATATCACAACTGAAGCAGCTGAGCATTTTGCAATACAAAGAAATGTGTAGAAATTAGAGGGGAGAATTAACAATCAGATCATGGGAGTTAAAGGGTTAGCTCATAATTGTTTATTATCCAACTGACCATTTGTTATTTAGAGTTAGACGGGAGGGTGGGGAAGGGGTTGGGAGGAAAGTTGAGGAGATATTCAATGCCCCACCCCTTCCCCTCTCCTTTTTTGATGTCACTCACCCCCTCTGTATAAATTTATTTCTCTTCCCAGCCTTCAGCTACCATCAAAACTCACCAACAGATTACTGTGAAATTGCTTGCCAAAATATTGCCTGATCTATAGTCTAAGTGTGTGGTAGAGGGGGAGGAATATACCATTACTAAAATTTTCCATGAAAGATAACTTTTTGTGACCACTTCTTAACTCATGCTAGGGCTGTTTGAATGTTATTTCCCCAAGCACAATCCTCATGAAACAATGTGAATAGATTACAATACTAAATATTTTACTAGGCTAAATTTATGATAAGCAAGAAATGTTGTCAGCACTGAAAGGTAGGGGGGTGGGGTGGGGAAAATTGCCTGCCAAATGGTTTTAATTTTTAACCTAATTGATTGAGAAAGTTATGGACCAATCACAGAGTGAGAAAGGGCAAAACTAAAGCACTCAACCAAACATTTCTCCATGTAGGAGAACATGTACAGTCAACTCTCCACTAATGGACACTTGTGAGCAGACAGTTCTTCATATGAAAACTCTTTCAGATTCTCTTTTTTTGCCTCCCAGTCAAACTCTGTATTTACACATTTCCATAAGAGGACACTTTCCTAATTGTGCACAGACATTTTTGAAATAGAAAAAATTTGAGTTTTCTTACTCTGGCAATAAAATCTGTCTTGAATTTGCAAATCATCAAATATAAGACCTTTGATAGAGCAATGGAACAGTAGAATACAATGGAATGCAATAATAAAGAAGAAGACGTTCCCAAAGAAGTTTGGTGCAGTACATTGTATTGATCAGTGGATTTTGTGCGGTCCAGCTAGCAGTGGACAAGCGCCACTATAGTGTTGGATGACACAGAAATCGCTATTTTGTGGCAATGTAGTCAACATGCTCATTGAAGCTTTTGATCACCTTACTTTTGCCATGGTTTTTATTGACTTGCATCACGTGTTACCCAAACAAACAAATCACGTAACATAAATAATCATGGGAATTTCATTTTACTTTTACGCTCCATTTTTAGGAGTCATTAAGCCCTTTTAAACAGAGAATAAATACTTTTTCATGTCTCTGAGGTCATGACTCCCACATCTCGCCTTTAAAATTTCTCATATCCCACATTCTGCCTCAGTTTAAAGCCTCATTCCACATCCTGCCAAACCTATGTTGGACCCTCAAAATTGAGATGTCTGTTAATTTTTAAAAATTTTTTTAATTAGATCTTCTTATTCAAATATGAATCAACGGCTTTCCACAGAGCAGTTATGTTGCCTGCTCCAAATCCTGTAGCCCCACATCGCTGGATAACCTCCAGGAAAAAGGTTTCTTTGTTAAAAAGTGGTCTAGTAAAAACCTGCATCAAATATCTGTAAAATAACAACAAAAGAAAGGTAGTTAATTCACCATAAATACCTCCCACTAACAAAATGTTAGATTCCTCTTTGGAATCTCATCTTAACTCACTTGTTGTCAGCATCTTGGTTTACATTCATATTTTCCAAAGATGAGGCAGTGCTTTTGCTAGAGGTGAAGCTCTCTGCATCCAACAGAATACCATGTTTCTGGAGAGACTCCACACTCTCTCCTACATCTCTTATTTCCTGCACTTTATCTTCCTGTGAAGTGAGATTGATCTCGTCAGATGTGTCCTCTTAGAAGATTTACCAGTTGCCTATAGGCTCTTGCAGAAAAAGTTGGGATTGCCTAGCTCCTAAAAACTTTTGTGAAAGTAAAGTCACACCCAAATAAAAGTTCCTCCAAAGACCAAAGTTAGCTGACTTTAGCACCATGATTCTGTTGAGAGTGAAACCCTGATACACTGGCTAAGCCACAACTACACTTAAAGATGAACTAATGTGCATGTATGGCAAAAAGGAAGCCAATTGTGATGACCTTTCCAAAGATTGTTATCTTGATCAAACACCAAATTCTTCCAA